CACTGCACAGTAGTGTTTCAAGAGAGCAGGATAAAGCATAGTGTAAGCCAAGGTGCCAGACTTTTGCCCTTTGTTAGTACACCATCTGTTTTATTACCCTTTGGCACAATCTGTATCACGAAATTGTCTAACACCATCATCCTTCTTAGCATTCGACAACACTCTTCATGTATGCAGTTGAAAGCATTTAATATAGGTGGCTAGTGTCATTATTCCTCGTGCCCACGTGAGGAAATGCACGAAGAGGTGACGTGCCTGCTCTGATCACACAGGACACTAGTGGCCAGGGGAGCAGAATTTATGCCTTATGATTTCCTGTCACTGTGCCCTGCTTTCACAACTGCATTACCTCCTGTATTTAGGAAGAGACAAAACGGTCTGGATTACATATAGATCTTGCTATGGCTTAGTACATCTCTGAACTGAAGAGAATGTGTCCACCTGAGTCAACACGCTGTTCCAGCATGCAAGGTGGCCTTGCCCATCACTGCTCAGCCACGATGGATCCTTCACTGCTTTAGGCAGGTGAGCAAACAAACCTGGCCTTCCTGAGGCACCTTTCACCACGTATTTCTTCATGTTCTTGCTATGACAATACCTGGATAGACTAGATTTTCCTGACCCACCTCTGCAGCCCTCCCAGGAGCTGGGATCACCTGCATTGCGAGGTTGCTCACTGCCCCCAGGAAGGAGGATCTGCTGAAGGAGTTCTCCAGCGCTCTTCATGGCATCCATTCCGATCAGCGTCAGCATGACAACTTGCTCCGTTTCAGGATCAGAAGCATACGTTCGATTGCACAAAACATCCAGAGGAATGTTACAGCAGTCTGGCACTGCACTGAGGTTGCCTCCTGCCCAGAGAGAGCATGAAAACAAACCTAGTTACCCCAGAAAAATGAATCTCTTCTCTTTAGTGTGAAAGAATTGACTCATTCTCTACTGGGCAGCAAAGGCCAGTACCTCACTGTGATAATGCTTCTCATGCTGCAGCTTGGCATGGCCAAGCAGCAAAGTACATGAACAAGAAGGACATAACTAACATTCTCTTGAAGAAACAATTCTGTTCCCCATATTTATCAATGTTTAAATCTTCAATCAAAAGATTAAGTATTTAGAACCAGTGCTTGTTTACCAGGGACTCTTGGATTTAAAAGTCTGCAATTACAGCAATTAAGGTTTCAGGATTCAAATCCCTAAAAATCCCCATCAAAATTCTCCTGTGTACATAATGGATCATCCCTAAATACTATATACATTTTTTTCCTCTGAGACAGAATGTAAAGGATTTGATTTCAAATTTTGCTTGGATTATCTCATCCTCATCTTTTGAGCCCAATCTGTTACCCTGTGTAACACAACATTATTCAAATGTAATCCGCATATGGAAATATCCATTCTTTTCTCTTCTTTACATAGAATACATGGCCCGGAAGGATGCGAATCTTTACTAATGAGTCATGCCCTTTAACTGGACTTTACTTTTTGCCATGTCAACCCTAATTTTAGCGTCCTTATTCATATTGTCAAGCAGAGTGGACAGATTTATACCAAAATGATTTAGGGTATCAGCTGCAGATCAATAACTAATGACTGCCTTCATATTAATACTTCCTTTTACTCTCTAGCATAATCTCTAGATTGCACTGCACATGATCCCTGGCTTCATCAAAAGTGTGTGTAATCTCGTACTCTTACACTAAATCATTACTTAAGCAAATGCATAGTTGATTTTTTTTTTATTCCTACCTCTTAACATTTCATTATAGAGAATGGTGAATGACACATTATTATTTTTACTTATAACGTATGTGTATTTGCAATTGGTTGTCAATCAAAAATCCTAATATCCCATGCTTAAAATAAACACAATCAAATTATATGAAACCTATAGAACATGTAAGAAAATATTACCTATAGTTAATGAAATAAACTAGTTACTTCTGATTCCATGACTTCCAAGTGCTCAGAAGTAGTAGATCTAAGACTCTCATACTCATCTGAGTCAGATTTATAAACAGAAAACAAGTTTACTTGTTTTTTCAAGAATTATCGATTTCTCAGCTTTCAATGAACTAGTTACTGAAGTGAATTCAGCTCTAAAAACTGAAATTAAGAACATCTGAGTAAAGTGGAATGAAAAAGTGCCTTCTGTGCACCTACAGAAGAAACTACAGCTGCCAACATTTATCCCTTCAGCAAATTCCAGTTTTACATGCTTAACCAGCAACTTTCCTCATTTTAATATTTTGACTTCTTTTTGAAACTATTGCAGTAAATACATATTGATTGAGTATTATTCTTTTAATTACAGTAGGCTTAAGGCTTAATTGGTTGTTGTCAGGTCACACTTGATTTTTAAACAGATTTATTTTTCTATAATTTTTTAATTTACATTACAAAACATATTTCCGTATCACTTTTCCATTGATCCTTTTGTTCATTACCCAGCTGCAGAACACATCTCATGGGAATCATTCAGTATGACTAAAGGACATCAGAATGCGAAATGAGTTATTGCAGAAAACAACATATTCCTAATGTCCTTATTCTGGGAAATCCCCCAGTAAAGTTGGCAGGATTTATAGAAGACTGAACAATGCATTTTCCACTCTGACCTACCCAGTGTCTGCAGCAAGGTCTCAGTGTAAGGAGCCACATGAAAAAATGCTGAGGACTCCAGCCCAGTGGCCCACGAGCTGCTCTGCCCACCTCCAAGAAGGTCTTGTTTCACCAGTTCATTTGTCAGGGCTATGTATAGAGCAAAAAAATATGTGATGAACATAGAACTCTGCGATGGAGTGTGAAATAAAATATGCTTCCTATCAAATATTTTGAGTCATCTGGCCAGAGTACCATTACAGAGACATTAACCTGGGTCACGCTGAGCTCACTCACGATACGTGAGATGAGCTCCCACCATGTCTTCTCCCCCAGCACTACAAGTCATTCTCTTACAGTAGGGCAAGGGGCTGCTGAAAAATTGAGGCTTGGCCACTGCCTTCTCTGGAGACACCTTTGCTTCATGAGCAGCACTCAGCTGTCTTGATAACCTTCTAACCCTTGCTGTGGAATGAAACTTTTCATAAAATAAAGATTAAATGAAGAGTTGTGCATGCAAGAGAGTCTACACAGCTCTTGAATTCTAAAAGTTTCTTGAGTAAGCTGGAGTGCAAGGAAGAAAAGTCACAAGTCTTGAGCACAATGCTTGAGTCCAGGCCCCCCAGATCAGCAGCAATGCCAGTGTCCTGCACCCTACGCAATACCAACGGCAATGGAAAGCCTGCAGGGATTGCAGTACCTAACAGAAGTGTCATCACGTTCTGCTCGCATTTCCATCAGGAAAATGCCTGCTTCCATTCCACTTTCACAAACACTACGTGCTTGAAACTAGCAATCCCTCAGTTCTCATTTTCCCTTCAAAGTGCCAGGTTATGCACAGGCAGGAAATGAAGGTACTGGAACATACTGCAGTTTAATAACAATTTATTCAATATTCTGCATTAACATTTCAGACAACAGTTTTAAAGGCTTGTTTTCAAATTACTTCGTATGCCTTGCAGTTTCTTACTATACACATGCCTGTCAGCAATTTACTGTGGCATAGTACGGGCAGTGGATTGTTAGCACTGGACAGTGATGGCAAGCCTCATGCCAAGCAAGGCACTGACAGATATTTTAGCTAGCACCAGTGACAGTCACCTACCTGCTTTTTAAAATTCAGATGCCACATGTAATTAAAGAATGTGCCATTATTACACCAGAATTTTACCTGCTGCCTGTTCAAACTTATTGCCTGTTAGAAAGCAAAGTTTGTACAAAAATTTGTGGGGCTTGATCCTCTGTCTGTGGATTCACTATGTAAAGACATAAATCTCTCTGCTTGAGTTCATATGATTGCTGAAGTTCTCCCTACGTGAAAAATAGAGTGTTGGAGCATGAAGGGGTGACTGCTTTTCCACGTTACTTTTTAAAAATGCAAAAATTCTTACTGTGGTATTTAGCCTACTCAGTTCCTAATGCTTTTCTACACTCCCCAAACAAGAAACAAAAGCTTATGTGAGAAGAATATCAGTTTCCACACTGCAGGGCTCTGGAATAAGCTACATTTATGGATCCATTCTCAAGCAATCACAGATGACAAGACAGACATATCTGCAAAGTCTGTCTACAAAGACAAAAACACTGTTCTTAAAAAACAAGGGTAAACCGTTCCTTTTGAAGAATGATCTTTGTTCTAGTGTCTGCCTAGATATTTCTAGTACAAACTTTCCAGAGCAAAACATAAACACTCTAATCATCATCTGTGATGCTCTCTTAATTCTTTAATAAGGAACTTTTCCCAGTCTAGAGGTTGCAGGTGATGCAGCATTACCTTTTACCAAGGCAGGAATATGATGACTTGCATTCTCCTTTCTCAGCAATAAAATTAGACAGTGCATACGTGACTCAACAGAAAGTTCACCTCTTTCAGAGTTGGTATCAGCTGAAATTGAAATCTTGCTCGGGCAAAATACAGCAGCCTAAAATAATGAGGGACAGGTTAGCCTAATAAATCCAGATCTAGGCATTACTGGGCTCAAACAAGCAGTCAAGTTACAGCAGCATAACATGATACAGCAGAACAGCTGAGCCACAGTAACTTCCAGTAACTGGATGCTCATGCATCATCTATTCATAAGACTGAACAATATAATTTAAGCCTCAGGGAAAAGGTTTAATATAACATGTTTTGCCCTACAACTGGGCTAGGCTAAGAGTATAACAGTTATTAAAACTCAGCTATCATAGTATCACCATTCTAAGTCACTTATGCACAAATGACTTTGAGCCCTAAATGACTTTTCAGAACGCTCTGCACCAGAGACCCCATTAAGGCACTAATTGCCATTGCTTCTCTTAACTTCTGAAAAGGCCATTTCCATGTAGGGGCCTTGTTCCAAATATCTGGCTACTTGAGCTATAATATTCAATGAATAAGAGTTATGCTTATTCTAAAGGACATTAGGGGCAGGGAAAATGTTCTTCCTCAGGCTTAACCAGCAAGCAATCAGAAGAGAGGCTTCGTACACAACTCAGTGATGTTAGTTTCCAAAGATGCATTTCCTCATTCACTGAGGAAACAACCTTAGCAAGATGGTAAGAGATTTAAAATAAGGGGTGCCTCACTTTGTAAGAAAAAGTCTCATAGGATTCACTGGGTGATTTATCAAGTAAGAAGTGCAGAAATTAACTTCTTGCATATGTAAATTTGACTGTTACATATGTAAGTTTGACAAAGTCTTGCATTTATGATTATTTCTGTTTCCTTGGGCTGGCATGTCAAAATGCCAAGTGCACTCTGACTCAAATAATCTATCAGCACATTGCACACAGCTTCAGAGAAAAAGAAAAAAATTGTTTTTCAAAACAGAAAAGCTCTTTATAAAAAATATATGTTAATGTATAAAACTAGGAGACTCCTACATACTGAAAACCCATAAGCAATCCTGGAGGGACTGTAATGTGCATAATCACACATTTTTCTGTTAGATGAAGACTATTCTCCTGAAAACATGTTCACAGGTCAAAAATTGTTATTTTGGTTTATGGGACTACTGGTTGCTCTTGCTTATTTTGAAATCAATGGAAAAATTCGTGTTTGTCTTAGTAGGAGGAGGCCTGATCATGAACTTTCACCTCTGCTCAAAGAGGCAGGCTGGAGCCTGGTGTGATTTTCCTACTAGAGAAAAAAAACAGCACTGAAAGCAAACAGAGTACCAATTGCAGGAACACAGAGAACATGAGTGCTGACTTGCTACTAAAGAGATAATGAGCATCTTGGAAACACTTCCTAGAGGAGTGTCAGCTCACACATCCACAGGGTGAGAAAAAAACAAAACAGATCACCCAAGCATGACATGTATTGATGAACAGCTCCAATATGATACATTCTTATTGTTTAAAAGACAAATAAACAAAAAACACTAGTAAATACAAACTATTCATAGTTAGCTCTGTATAGGCTGAGAAATGGTGTAGTGTACAAATGCTGTCATTGCCCAACCTTCTCCCACATCCACGCTGGCTGCTTTGAACGTACACTGTGGTAGTAACACCAGTGTGGCTGAGATCCCCATCATCTTCTGGCTAGGGCAGCACAGAAAATAACTGATTTAAAGCATTGTCAGAGCAATGCACTTTAAGCTTTGCTTGCTTTCATATCATACCAGACCTACCATGTTGAGGAAAACTAATGCAAAAGACAGGGAGCAGAAGAACATCACAAAGTTAACTTGAAGGTTTTGGCTATAATTTTTAAAATCTTAGGATAACCATCTGATATCCTGGAAGGTCAAATTTCAAAGAAACCACAGAAAAATCAGAGATTCCTTCAAGAAATTGGGAATAGAAAGAACTTTGCTCAGTGTGACAGCAAAAATGAGTTTCAGAGCAACTAGTAACCCGAGGAATACAAGTAAGATCTGTGCCGCGTCTGGTACCTGACTTGCTGTCATGCTCAGTGCAATGGCTTGCTTGGGGGAAAGCAGCAGCTGTCTGACTCCTTGCAGGATAAACCCCCGACGAGTACAGGCCGAAATCACACTGCCATAGGCATGAGGAGATACCACAGGTGACACCAACAAAATGATGTCCCCTAGATCAAAAAGAGGGTAAGAAAAGCAGCGTATTATTTCCACAGAATCTGCAGCCACTTTCATAGTGGCCAGCTCCAGCTTGAAATACATTCCAAATGAAAACACCACGTTCTATGATGTGCTCTATCCAGCCCATAATGGCAGCTATATGAGGCGAGATGAGGACAGAACAGCTTATGGAAACATGAAAATCTCTTTGTGAATCAACTATTGCAGTCAGTCTGGCTCATCAAGCCAATCCAGATATCTACGAGGTATTTGTCTGTCTTTTTCCAGCTGCCTATGCTCTTGGTCCACACAATAGCTGTGTGTCAGCCCTGCCAGGCTGTTTTGGACCGTTACAACGGCCAGCAATCTGACAGCACTGAGTTCCCTGAAAGCCAAAGGACCTGACAAGCCTGGCTGTGTTGGTGAGCAGCTGAATAAAGCCAAGATGACTAACTGGTAGTTTATCAACTCTGAGACACATGAAGCAATTCCATCATTTCTCTCTGCTCTTACTGGTGGTCCTTGTCTGTAGCTACAATCTTCTTCAGCACTACCTTCTTCTTCCTCTCATCCTTACTTTAGCCCTGGCTTATGCCCATCTCACAGCATAGGCTACTGAATCTTTGGACCAACCTCTGATCATTACCCCACCTCGTTCTTGTTTGGTACCATCTATGGCCTCACAAGTTCCTGACGCTGGTCATCCTGATAACAATACCTGCCTGCTTTCTCCACTTGGGTTTCTGCTGAACATTATGTAGGGGCTGGCTGCCCACATTGTGCTTACACCCCTTATCCTAGTAGCTCAGTTTGCAGAAACAGTGGAGTTTATGCTAGGTTAGAAACCAGGGTTTACACACTCCTATTTTCTAAGCTGAAGGCTCAAGCTCAGTGCCAACAGGGTGGCAATACCCACTACCAGCACACTCAGGAAACAGAACAACTGACACCTGAGCAGCGTCTAAGCCCCATTTGAGGTATAGGACATTGCTCAAGGCTTTTCTGTGAAGCCTCTAATCTAACCAAGGTCCTTGATTTGTTCTAATACTATCCTTATTCTCTGCTCTTGCTACTGCTTTCAGTATTGTACTGTTCTAATTCTAACATAGCCTTATTCTCTACACAGGGTGAATTCAGATCCCTAACCTTCTAAGAAAGAACTCGGAGAAGATATATGCTTCATAATATGCTACATTGCCCTGTTACCTTTCCTTAGATCTGACAAAATTGTATAAGGTTGGACGTATTTTAATCTCTGTGCCCCAGTTACACTGTGGGTTCTTTTGCCGGGAGGGAGGGTGGTAAAACTATCAACTTTGAACGTTTCTTGTAGCTGTGATCTTTGTGATATGGATATCTATCTCCCAAGAACATGACCAGGCCTTAGCCTGCTATTTCAAAGCCATGACAACAGAAGAGGGAAAGTTTGTGTTTATTATCCAGGATGAGCAGGGCAATTTTCCTTAAAACTTATGTGGCTTTCATTTCATATGCTCTGAGCCGGATTGACATTAGTGCTACATTCATTATACCTGACAAAACTCAATGTTACAGGTGGTAAAACTTTTGCCCATCTCTAGTTGATAACATTTAAATAAATGTATTCCACAAACATATCCCAAATTAACAAACATATTTCCTAGGGTAGGAAAGCTTTGATTCCTGTGAAGAGGCAGTGGTATATTTGTTCTGCATGCTCTGTATGCTGGTCCTCTCTCCCAGAGGAACTACCAGAGAGCTGGCATAAGAAGTCAGTGAATGTTTCCCTTCCTTAACATTTCTATAGGGTTTCTGCTCCCAGACCAGCTTTTCAAAGTCATGAAAATGCTCCTCAGTTATCTGAGGAGCAAGGGTTGGAAGTGACTTCCTGAGCCCAAATACAGATGGAACGTGGTGTGGTGTAACTCAGCAGCCCCCATCAAATGTGAATCATTAATGGCCATAAAAGGAAGGGGAGGCAGAAAATGTGACTCATTGCATCAGCAGCAACCAGCTGCCATCAATACCAATCCAAATAACAGAGTCAATGGCAGTCTGCCAAGCTGCTTGAGTTAACATGCCCACATATACCAATGAGTGTAGCCCAAAGGTGAGAATTTCCTTTCTTTCCATTTTCCTTCTGTATTTTTTTTTATTGTCCTCCCCTATGTCACTTTACCATCCCTTCCTTTCCCATTTTAGGTTTATGCCTGCATTCCTTTCTCAAACTTTCCTTTGGCAATTTCATTTTATGTTTCTTCTTTCTATGCCAATGTAACCCTATTTTCCTCCTGCCATCTTCCCCCTAAACAGCTGCTCAGCTTCCATAACTCTTTTTTTTTTTCCAGTGGAAATAGCTTCAGTTGTGGGAGTAGAAACAGGATAGCAATGCTCTCGTAGCACCATCTCAACCACTTTTGCTTTACAGAGATCCAGCTCTAGAGAGATTCAACTACTGAAGATTGCCAGCATGCCGCTCTGCCTACAACAGACACCTCCATTTCACACAGGTCCTTCCTAGCCTGTAAGGTCTGCATGCCTCGGCACAGGCAGCTTGCTACTAGGTAGTAATTCAGATACTGCAAGGCTACTGCCAACAAAGGAAAATGGGGAATTTTGGCAGAGAAGCCAGGTCATTTACATCAGCTCTATAAAATAATTCAATTTCCAATTTAGCTACTTCATACTCCATGATGATTATATTCACCTTCTAACCAGTAGAGGCAGATGATCTCTAATCACATAAATATGCAGTTTACATAAATGTTTTCTTGGTAAACACGCTCTTATGAGCAGAGATTTCCTGGGTTTTATTTTTATCTTTCAGTGAAATCTAAGCAGCCTATAGGACTCTAGCAGCTCCTCCCATGAGGAGGACAAGATGATCATAACACTCCTCTGTCCCTTCATTTTAGACAATAAAGTTTCACCACAAATTCACTCGTGGATCTAGACAGGCCACAACATTAGGAAATCCAGGTAGATAAATTTCCTGAAACAGGTGGGCTGGATTAAGGAAGTAACATCAGTGGGGCAGCATTGTAAAACCTCAGTATTTGTTCCCTATCAATGACCTTTGGTGGTTGCAACAAGTGTTGCAGGAGGTTGAGACAGCAGCGGACCCTGCAGATGAACCTTTTCCTCCTCCTCTTCTGCTCCAGTTAAAGGACTCTGAGGCCTAAAGAAAAAAAACAGTAAGTATTAAAAGTTGTTATGCCAGGCTCTGACTCTAACCCACTTTCTGCAACAAACCAGGACCATAGAAACCTCGCTGGTAAAATTGCTTTGCTGGAAGAACATTTCATTTGCTTGTTCCTGACACGAGCTGCATCAAGGTCTCTGATTGAGCATTTTCTAGCAATACCACTTCGAGGCTCTCTGTGTTCAATTAAAAGTTGCTAATGCAAAATGCCCAGCCTGGCAAGGAAATCTGGGAATCAAGCAATATGTGAGGCTATATTTTCAAAGCTTTTTCTCCCTTCAGGTATGTCTTAGTTACTATTTAGTTTTGGTTCAGTAGGCAGAATTTAGGCATTTTAAAAGTTGCTATGATGCTCCTCTGGCATTTCATGTTCAGCAACAAGCACCACCAAGTCTGGCAGAGATGCTTAAGGGCAGTGAAATATCTACAGCATTCCTGCATACCTGAAAGGACCAAATGATGGGATTGTGAATAAGTTGTGGTTCTGTAATAACAATATTACAGCCTGTAAAACAATGTGACTAAGTCTGTAAAACACAGACTGCTCAGGCAGACCTGCCCTCATCCACAGCACAGGAGCACATCCTGCTTGTTCACACCCAGCAGAACCTGCTGGTGCTTGCAAGGGAACTCCAGAGAGCTGAAAACTGACATGCAGTTTGTATTCTGGTCTCCCAATGGATGATGTTACCGCATTAATGCAAACACATTATTCAAAATGAAGCACCTCTCCGGACTGGCTGGTGATACTACATTAGCATAATGCATCATATTTTCTAAGAGGAAAGCCATCACTATGAAAAAAAGAAAAAGAATGAAATTGTGAAACTGATTTTTCAATCTTGTCAAGATAAGTCACTGTCCATGGTCATATAGAGTTAAACTGACACATAACTTTATGAAGGGGAATCTCTGTGAGCATCATATTAACTCTACACAAGTACACTTTGCCTGCCTGCAGAAGGCACCCTCTGGACTGCACATTACTTAAGCCTTAGCCTGATGCCACTGATAAGATGGCAGATCTCAGCAAACCTGTCCAGAACTTGCAGGTGCATGGAGCTTTTTTGGGCCTTCTACACAGAGTTCCACCACAGCAACATTTACTCAGTTCAGTACTATTAAAAGCAGAAACCCAGAGCTCGAAAATCCCACTATAGCAGCAACCAACCCATGTATTTACACAGGCCTGTGCAGCAAATGCAGCAGTGAGGGAGAGGCTGATTCTTCTGATCAGCAGAACTTTCTTGCAGCCCTAAGCCCAAGCTTTCCATGAAGAGCTGTAAAACACACGCTTCAGCCCACAGCCATTCCATCCATGCTTGGAGCAGCCAGGGGTGCTCCAGGAGCCAAGAGAAGACAAGTGCCTCTTCTCTTCCTCTCCAGGCCAGAGTCCACTGATCCTTTTACATAACAATTTGAAAAAAACAACTTCTGAGCAAGCAGAGCCCTTCACTTACACATTAAATGTGCTTCCCAGATTCTTACATCTGAGCCTCAGCCCAGGAAATTGCAAGACTGCCAGGAAGTGTGACTGCTTCACACTGCGGAAAGTACTCATCTTCCTTGTGGAAGAGACCCAGACAGCTTTGGGAAAAGTGCTGGGAAGGAGTGCTGCAAGAGCATCCAGGCTGCCCATGCAGCCTTCTATCTTGATATGGAAGGGATACAGGGCAAAGCTCTCTCTGAAGACCGGGGTTTCTGGCAAAGGATCCCTCAGTGGCAAACAACCTTGTAAACTTTCTCCAGCTCCAGGTGCAGCTGGAACAGGTCTCAGAACAGGCTGATCAGCTGTATCAGCCACAGAAGGCCCAAGAACAGGTGTTGCAAATGTATGAAATAGGCCAGAAAACAAGTCATAGGAGGCAACTGTGGAAGTCCCATGCCTTGAAATATCTAATAGCTACTACAGAGGAGAAAACCAGTAGAAGGAGAACTTGAGCAAACTGCAATAACTCCTCTGGCAATGCAGAAACAGATGCTCCCAGACCCCACTCCTGTTCACTGAGAGCCACCGGTAACGGTTGATGCGTAAAGACCAAGCCCAGCTGCCCGGTCTCCGTGACACGCTCCTGGAGACCTACAGTAGCAACATGCAGGCCAAGGCCCTCACCTTGCTCCGAGACGGCCACGAGGCAGGGCTCTTCCTCCAAACCAGAGGCTCAGCTCCCTGCGCACGCGGCTCTCCAGGCGCGGCAGGGAGGCGAGAGGCTCCGCGCGGGCCCCGCAGTAGAGGCCGTTGATGGAAGCGCAGTCTGTCACCCGGGCCAGCCGCGGGTCCCAGGGGCCCATGATGTTCTGCAGGGTGCTGCAGGCCTCAGGCCCCCTCGCACCCAACGCCAGTACTGGGGGCATGTGGCCAGTCTCCGAGGTATAGGAAGAAGGCAGTTTTTCTGTGAAAGATAAACACATACGTGACTAAAGCATGGTGCTCCCAACTCATTCATTCAAGGGCTCTTTTCAGATCATACCTCTGCCATACCGCTCAGATGAGTGACAGCTTATCAGCAGTTCCACTCCCATTATATTTTGCCAAGGTGACAGCTTATTTACCCCTTTAAGGAGACCTTTGCTCTAACATACTGGATTAGGATAAAAATAACTCCCTGGTTGCCTGTCCTGAGGCTGTTATGCTAGTGACCAGGTGTATGTTTTTACCTCATGATAAATCTGAAATAATTCAAAGTATTTTATCTGTCAAGAAAAAAAGAGTGTGTTGCCTCACATTTGCTGTGGGGAAGGGGTGCACAGCAGAAGTTACTACAGAGCAACTGATAGAAGGCAACAGTTTAACTTCTTGTGCCATGTCTTGCTTCGACCCACAAGGCTGATTTCTCCCTAGTTCCTATTGCAAGTGTTAGAGGTGAGAAGTGTCCTTCTCTGCTTTGGGTCTTACACTATTTAACATCATTTGTTGCATAGGAGTCAGAAGCTAAAACAAAAGAGCTCCAGAACAGGCAGATAATGGAGAAAATGACTGTAAAGATTTAAAAATCACTATTTTTAAGTTATCAAGCTACAGGTGAAAAGGCAATTTGCACACTTCCATAGCAATTTTCAGCTCAAACAAATTATCCCTTCATAGGAAGTGTTACTAAAAAAGGTACAAGGTACAAAGCACAGAAACAGAGCTGCCACCTGTCTTCTTTTAATGACTGGTGATTTTTTGTTTTCTTATTCACTTCTGAAATTTTTCTTTCTCTCTCTCCTATCAGTATGAATGTATTATGTACACAGTGCTGAGAACAGCAACTGCAATCCCATTTCTGAGCCAAGTGTTCAGTTCCTACTGTTTTCAAGCACAAAAGAGAGCAGGGTCACTGCAGAGCTTTTCTCTGATTAAGTTGGTCTTCATTCATCATCTATCTAAGCAAAGGGAAACTTGATTCTCTCAATCTACCCATAACCTTCCCCAAAAGAAATGGATGAGATATATACATGACTTCATGTCACATGTAAGCCTTCTTCCAGGAGAACTCCTTGGCTTAAAACAAAGTAGTCAAACTGCAGGGGCAAGCTTCACATTTTGAAGATAATGAAATGGTTCTTGTACTAGAAGTTTATTGCATTAGCAATTAATACTATTCAACACACACTTTGAGGCCAGTTTCGCTATCTTTATTTCACAAATGGGGATACGAAACACCTATATGGTAAAGGTCAACATTTGCAAATATTGGTTTCTAATGTTAAAGGCTTTGGACTTTAACTATAGGGACCTGCGACATATTTGGTTGGCTTTATCCTCAGTGACTCATCTCAGGCCACCTTCTACAGGCAAAGCGTGACATTTTGGTGATGGCTTATCAGCCAAAGCAATTAGGGGATGGCCAGGTTAGCTGTCTTTCAGGGGACACGATCTTTCAGTGCTCCTGAAGAGCAAGGAAGGACTGAGGACTCAGAAGCAATAGGAGAGCTGAAGAGAGTTAGAGGAGGTTTCTCTAACTGAAACCTCCAGGGAAATCAGGGGAAGGTAAGTTAGCACGTTTAACTCATATGAACCTAACCCTGCTCTTCAGAGCAGCACAATTTGGGGAACCTCCGCACAGAAACAACTACTAAAGCAGCTTGAGATACAAAGATATACAGAGTTAGAATACACACTATTTGGCAGGGGGGGAGACAGAAAGAAAAAGCCCAAGGTTTTATTATCTCCAAAAGAAATGATACAGGCATTGATAAACTGTAATTCTGGTAATCTCTTTCCCATGCTTATAGCACCATGTGGGTCTTCAACTTATCACAATTACAGATCTCCAGCTTAGTCCTATTACACAGCTAAATCTTGGACAGAAAGCTAGGCCTCACCTGAGCTGGAGAGCAGCGTGTCATGCTGAGGATAGAGCAGGCGGAGTCCACAGATATCCAAACCAGAACTGAGGAGCAGCTGTAACATGTGGTGGAGAGCTAGGGGACGTCGGAACAGAGTTTCGAACAGCAAAACCATAGCAACCTGAACAGCAAGAGCACAGCGCAGAGATGAGCCAGGCGCTTCCCAGCCCACAACGAGCGCACAGCTCTACCTCGCAGCTCACCTGGAATTCCCGGGCCTTATCTATATTTTAAAAGCCACAAAGAGGCTTTCTTTTCATTTATGTTTACATGCAGTTGAGTTCAATAGGCTTCTAGCCTCAGACTGGAGCGTAACAACCACCTACTACTAAAATTGTGTCTTTTGTCACATAAACTTACTAATAAAGGGCTGTGAGTTATCTGGGCAGAGGATAGAATGTATCAATCTTGCTGTTTGACTGTGTGTTGTTACAGAAATACAGTCAAATACTAATAGGGCAAATGGTTGTTTCTTTATACCTATAAAAGTGCCAAAATCAACATAAGAAAAGAATCAAACAGCAGACATCACTGGTACTGTCACTAATTTCTATTTTGAAATCTTCTTTCCAGATGAATCCAATTCAGCTCATCCTGTGTACAGGAAGATATATTCTGACACACACTGAATCTATCTATCCAAAAGGGGAAGCAAATCATGCCGAGTTCTGCATTTTCCCATCAAATGAAATGTATTGTTTCAAGGAGCACATGCTTTACGACAGGAAGCTGTATGGTACATGAAGCTCTGCGGGTAATAGATTGTCTAGCTGTAAATCAGGCAAACATGATTGTATTGGCCTCAGATTTGTGCATGGCTCTCCTGTCCGTAGAGACACAGAGTGCTAGCCCCAGCAAGCAGCTTTACTGCTGCAGTGAATGCCAAATGAATTCATCATTACTGGACACTTTAAATGAAATGCTACTTGTCCATAAACACATAATGAGCCTTATAACATCATGATAAATGAAGTTATAAATCTACTTAAATCATAAAAAGTAGTCTAACTACTAGTAGTTCCTAAAGTAGGAATAAAAGCTCTGTTTCTTTATATTTATCTAGTTCTACTCTTCTGATATTAACCCATTGTTCATAGCAGCCAGGAAATGATTTTTCTGTAGCTGCTAGGAGGTCTGTGAGTGTATTCCTGTCCCTGGGGATTTGGCTGCCTGGGCTCAAAGCCAGTTTGGATAATGCAGCTGTCCAGCCTTGGCAGGGACCTTTCTCTCCTTCACTGGGGAACAGCCTTTAAGCTCAGGCACTTGGCCATGGTCCCTGAGCTGTGTTGCAAGTATGCCTCTGCCCAGGTTCATTTCTCCCTGATTTTGGCCTTGGTCCTTACCTGCTGGCCTGACTTTCCACATTGCCCTTAACACTATGGACTCACAGGGCAACCACTGGACCCTTGTTTGACTCTGGCTGAACCTGCTCTCCTGCTCTTATTCGGGTAGGGTGGAATTGCACCCCTGTCAGGGAGGTCACAGGCCCTGCCTGCCTTGCTGTTAGCATTAGCTCTTGGCCTCCTGCCTATATCAGAGCATCCTGCCCTTGCTGGAGAAGTTCTGTACAAGGCCAAGTGAGGAACTGGGATAAAGACATGATGAGGTATTTCCCTGCTCTGCCAAGTGTTGCGTATCTTCACATCCTAATTGTGAATTTGGAGCATCTTCCAGGAGCAAGCCTGGCACACACTAACCACTCTCAGCAACAGACTTGCTGCACTTTCAGGAAGAACATACTGTATCTGCACCTTCCTGAATCAATATTAAGAAGAAACTGAACTGTCAAGTCAAAGAACTATGTTCTTTGCTGTGCAAGAACTAAGACAAATTAATTGCCATAGTTAATCTCATACATGGTTGGGGTCCAGTAAAATCTGGTATGTGTGCTTAGACTGAGGCAAATGCAAGTTAAACTACCATAACCTTCCCTTCTAGGCTAAGCTAAATAGAATTTCTGTTTACAGGATTACAACTCAGGTACCATAAACTTCAAAAACACACATCATTTTTCAGAGCTCAGTTTTTAAACAATATATGTAGCATATTTTTTGCAGTCATGTGGATTTCGATTATCAAAATTTGTCCACTGTCGCTGAATTTTCACCTGATCAGACGCAATTTCTTTCACCAGGACCCTTCATAATTTAGTCTTACATGACCTAGAGCAAACAGCACATCAATACTGATGATAAAAGATTGAGCTTATATATTTAAGTCTGAGTGAGAAATTGTTTGAGAATAGCACTTGTACCAAATCTCAAGATTCCCTTATTCCAGTTCATTAATTGTCTCCAACACTTCCCACATCATTCCACACGTCAGAAAGGAGCTTTTTCACCTCAGTGTCCGTATCTCTGCTAGCCTCGATGGTGCTGCTGTTAGGGAAACACTCCTCAGCAGTTTCTACTGTCTGCCAGTAAAACCCAGCTGGAACCGCAAAGACCTTCTCCACAGCCTGAAATGGAAAGGACATCTCATTTGTATGTTATCTTGATCCCTCAAGATCAAAAGCAAAAAAAAGTACAGTTAATGCAAATAGAAGTGATAATAGAGTAGCCTCATTAGTTGAGTATTGTTATATCATTTGCTTTATATATGTTCCATTAGTTCTAATTAAATGACAAGCCAAGAACATGAATCTGCAATGGCATCCTGAGAGGCTGAGCAGTCCCAGGGTGCCTGATATGGGCAGGGCCACTGACATGGATGGGTTTTACCTGCCAAACACCGCAGGACCGAGCCCAGCAGCCTGAGCACCTTGATGCTTTGTGACTGCTGGCCAGCGAGCAGAAGAGGGTTTTGTAAGACAGCACTCTCAAACTATCCAAAGTGAGGGGGTAGGGGAAGTCTTGTAGGGATTTTTACATGCTCATAACAAAACCAATGTATTTTTTCCTGCGTTAGGTCACCTCAAGCAGGGTACCTGCAAGTGCCATTGCACCACATACACCTGTGAAAGACACTGGCCTTTAGGGCACAGCCCTCCAGAAGCAGGGCAGTTCTCAGGCTCAGCACCAAGCAGCTTCCCCAAATGTGCTCCTGTATGTTTAGGATTTGTCACTTAGGAGAATTTGCTCCCAGCTCCACAACATAGCCCCCAAATAAACACAGCTTTTCAAAGTCATGTTCACCAAGTTCTGGTTAGGGAAAAAGTGATGTTCTTAGTTACGCCGTTACTGAGCACTCCATTGCACAGATACATTTACACAGACTTCACATTGAGCAGAATTCTTTCTAAATAAAAAATGCCAGGTCTGGAGCACTGGCTCAGGGGGTGCATATCGGAGTAGCTTCACTATTTTTAAAGTCTCTAACTTGATTTATTGCAGGCCTGAATTAGTCCCCATCTCATGTTTTTCTTCAGATGTTACTAAAACCTTTTCCATAGAAAGGAAGTTAAATTTCAACATGGTCTGATTAAGACTTAGAGGATAGAAAATACACTCACTATATGAAAATGTGCTCATTGTGGATAAGGTACATATAATGCTATTTAATTATGCCATCACCTGAGAGTTTTTGTGTTGCTGAGCAAGTGATAGAAACATCAAACCTTTCTACAGTTATTTAAGAACAGCAACTAGAAAACAAAATTAACTTGAGTAATATTAAAACCCTTCTGACATCTGATGGCTCCTTTCTGCTTCAGCAGCCTTTTGTGTTTTCTCCTTCCTGTGTTTCCTTCACTTCGTGAGATATTTGCCTGGAAGCAGAAGGGATTTGACATTTCACCTGGTTTCAGTCAACACAACTCCACTGAAGTAAGTGTTTTGACAGCTCTCAAGGATTTGTCCATGGTTTTCTGCAATCCATTGCTCACCAGCCTCTGCTTGTGATATTACACTTGGTTGCTGTGGAAAATACCATCATAGAAAAAAAACAAGAAATCACCAGTGTATGAAACTAGAGGGTCCTCCTTTTTCTGTATTTGCTGCCAGCTCCTGCATACAATAGTCCCACGGTGCAGTGAGCACAGGGAGAGCATACAAGCCTTGCAAAAAGAGACTGCAAGAAGACTCCAGCCTCCCAGATATTCAAGCTGTTCCTTGGACAAATCTAAATGCTATGAACTTTCAAGAAGATAGAAAATCAAAGGGACAATTGTCAAACTAACTCTAGCCTACATTTCTATAGAAACCTGCAATGCAATGCAGGTTTCTATAGAAAAAGAAGGTTTTTTTTTCCTGCAGTTGTGATCTGCAGTCACAAGAATTTAGGTAAGCCAAGGTAAAACCTTTTATATAAAAATCTTTATGATCTTTATGGAATAAGACAGTGTGAGCCAGGGTACCATGATCCTAGGCTCGCTGGCCCCCCCGGCTCATCTCCCCACCATCGGAGCAGGGATCTGGCCATACCTGCTAGGGAAGCAAGGCCTGTGGAAATTGTTTCTACAACCTGTCAGATTGTATTTTCTAGCATCAACCTAAACACGATTTCACAAAGCAACAGAGGATGAGCCTGGAAACGTCTTATTAGTTCCCCTAGAAGAGCTTTTTCCTCAGGGGTAAGACCAGCTCTGGAGAACTGCAGCATGACAGCCCCTGCTTGGTCTGGTCTAGCTAAAATGTGCCAAGGGAGGAGACTCTTGACATGGGCTTCCTATACAAGGCATGCTTTATAATGGAACTTTCCCATATATTCACAAGATAATAATATAGAGACTCTTATGATGAGATGAGCCCTATTTGGCATATAACATAAGCCCCCAAGGCAAGTTCCCCAAACTCTTACTGAGGAGATTTGATTTGGATGCCATTTATTTATATGCTGCATCGACACTGTCTTGCAATGTTCCACACAGACAGGGAAGGCATGAGGATTGAATTGATTCCACCTGGGAGCCGGTTCTTCTCTTAATTACACCTGCAACACTATAACAGTTGCAAAGCCCCTGTGCAAAGCTCAACGATCAGTGCCCACCTGCACCCTGGCAGGCACAAGAAGGGATCCCTTCCCCACGCGCCGCTCCGGGGAGAGCAGACTCCGGCCTTCCACACTGGGCTGAAATCCCACAGTTCCGCATTCAGAGCACTGAAATAACCTCCTGCCTCCCGGCCACAGCATTAGGCCAGCAGAGAGGTACCCTACAGTCAGCCAGTGGGGGATACAGCAGCCCTGAGGATATTGTGGCTTATGCTGTGACAGGCTTTGAAGCCCGAGATCATTTCACCATAACCACTTCAATGACTAGGTCTCCCTGACCCAGTTTAAGGGAGGGCGATTTCTTCCAGCACTGAAATCCTCTCCATCCATATCAATATTATCAGAAAGAAGAGCATGGCTATAATTCTGCATTTGAAGGGTTTTTTTTTTCTGCCTTTCTCAACAATTATCCCCTTTCTTATTTGTTCTTTGGCAGACAAATCCTGATTTCTGCTACCTTAAGACACTAGAAGACTGAATTAGTACCACAGCTAGGATTGAATGCACATATAGTTTTTCAGAAAGTGTTAAAAAAACAGATTCACTCTGTTTCAGACAACATACTGAAATGCAACCAGGCATTTATAGGAAGGAAATTCAGGACAGAACAAAAACATCTTGTAAAATATTGAGCAGAAGCAAGAATAAGAACATTTTAAAGAAGGCTGGAACTTGCATTTCATTGGAGCTGTGTACAGCAAAAACATCAATATTTAATCATCACATAGAAATATGCCCAAATCTAATCTCTCTTCTTGCTTACAATATATTCTGTTCCCTTTTACAAGGGCAAAGAAATGGCTTCTGCTATCAAGTGACCCAAAGAGTCTTTTAAGTCACAAAGAGTCTTCTAGGCTGAGGAACGTTTCTCAGCCACAGCAGGAAAGAAGAAACTGCAGAAAGAGGAATCTTTATGTACTCCAAAGTCTTATCCCCTTGCATTCAAGGGACTGATGCAAAAACTAGCTCAGCCATTATTGCTATGGGACAGCACCCAAACCCCTTTGAGAAAAACAGGCTGCGAGTTCTGTACAAACATCCTTTCCCTCCACTGAACACACCAGTGAGATCAGAGAACTGCCCTGTCTCTGCCTCGATGCTAACATACTAGCAAGGCTCACGCCTTGCATGATGCACTAAACCATGCCCCTGAACTAAGCTGCATTACACTTAAACTCTCTCCTCTCCCTGCTGCCATAAACCCCAATGTGCTAGTGCAGAAGCCCTTGCAGGATCCAGATTAACACAGGAGAGGGGCTGAGGGCAGAGGTGGGGTATTTAAGGACTTTGTCACCAAAGACATGCAGTTTTGGTGACTGTATTTCAGGCAGTTGGAAGATGCTGCTCACATCTCTTTGCCTCCATTTCAGAGGTTTCTTAAAACACAGAAGAGAAAAAGGATGGGACTGACTTCTCTTTCTGCCCATTATCTACCATCACACTCTGTACAAATGGCTAAGCACATTAGCTTGATAGTTCTTTTAAACTGCTTTCTGAGAGAATTAGTGATGGTCACAATTTAAATGTGAGCTATCAAATTTTAGCCAGAATGAACAACTATAATGGTTCAGTCTTCCCAAGCTATTGCTTCATCTCTATGCCACTCAGGCAAACGTTACTGTAAAGCTTTCTCATTTTAAAGTTTAGATTTTTTTAAAAAAATTACAACTGCCAAAGACATAATGTTAAATCCTGGCCCCACTAAAAATCAATGGTGAACTCCAAAGGACTCAGCTAGAGCCAGGATGGCACTTTCTCCCTTCTATCCTCATGCAGATGAGGCACATTCACATCTTTAAGATCCAGCCATGAACCTATTCTCCATTTGATGAAGCATTTCTGTAAATTCATATAGATGAGGCCCCAGGACAAATGTCTCACCCATGGGTGAGTCATCTCCATGTGGACTCATCCCTCAGATGAGGTGTGATATGTACGTAAGTGCTCAAGCCAAAGCTGCTGAGAGGGGTTTTATCAGGCTGCACAGCAGAAACAGGGTGTCAGGCACCCTAGGACCTGATCCTTAGCATCATCTCCAGGAAAGATGAGATAGGAAAGCAAAGGACATGTGCGGTGAATGAGCACACCTCCTGTTCAACAGCTTCAGCCCAGACTTCAAACAGTCCCAGTGTTTTAAGGGTCAGCATCAACCACACTGCAAACTTCAACAACATCCTTGCTCTGGTTTGGAGAAGCAAACAAGTTGAGGTGCCATTTGGGGTATTTAATCAGTACTGCCCAATTCAGCAATTATATCCTTCAAGTTTTATCATCAGGCACAGCAGAAGCTTCAGGGGAAGAAAACATAGCCCTGAGCCATGTACTAAGTGCGACAGCTTACAGCAACACGTGGATCAGATCTGACAGCTGGCCAAGCTGTGCTGCACTCCAGGTAGCTCAGGCTGTGTTCTATCCATGAAACATTCAATAGCCTCATGTGGGTTTGCAAGCTTGCTTCTCAGACAGGATGAAAGGAGAAAAAACACATGGAGTAATAAAACAAAAAGAATAACATAACTACCAACATCTGTGAGCACCAGACCAGAGCACAGCATTAGTTATTACAATTGGATTTGCATGTGACAGGCAGTGACCACAGCCCAGGGCTGGAAGAGTCAGGTGAAGACAAGATGCTGCTGTGGTGAGTAGCAATTCTATGAACAAGCCTCTCATTAGCAGCAGTGTTAGAAGAAGTTACAGTAAAAGAGTGTGGAAAATATTGAAGCCACTCTGCAGAGGTAAAGCTATGATGCTCGTGCTGAAACAATGTGACAGCATTCAAACGCTAAAGCTCTGGGTCTTCTTGTCAAGCCTGTGCTAGGAAAACAGCCTCCTCCATCACGGCAGGCACCTGTGTGAATTGGCAGTTCAGCACCACAGGCTGGAAGGTGATCAGAAAGGTAGCAAGAAGTGAGTGCTAGAGGTGCACTTGTTTCGACAAGGGTCCCATGTTCTGGAGAGAGCAAGAGGAATCCCGCATGCTTCATCGGGAGGAACAGCTGGAGGCAGAGAGCTTCAGTGGTGGCCACATGTCTGCTTCCCTAAGGTTAATGCCTGCATCCTAAGGCTTATCAGGAAAAAGCACTCACATGGACTTTGTTAAAATGAAGCAATCCTTTTTGCTGACATGAGACATTGTAACTAATAACCTCCATGAGGATTATGTTGCTCCAAGCCTAACCTGGAATTTTAATGACTGTGTTGAGAGTTTACTTTTCATTTCCAAGGTGAAGTACTGCAGGTTAATAGGCTGTACATAGAGCATTTACAATGGAGAGCTTCAGAGCAGGGTAGCAAGACAAAAGCAATCTATTTGGGCTTCAGGACAGACTGAGAAACCACCACATCAGTTGACAGAAAACAAGATGTTGGCTCACTCTAGCAAGCAATATGCTTAGAGGTTACTACCCTTTCTGCTTATAAATCACATACAACTTATCAGTACACAAGTAAACTGCAGTTTTATTACCTCACATACAATTGCCTCTGGGCCAATAAACTGTTTGGAGCAAAACCGGGTGTTCCCTGCCTGCTTTTCTAACAGGAATAGCAGGATACATTGGTTTACTTTGGTTTGTGTACACCACTGCAATATATGTAGCATACATGCATCACTGGCTTTCCAGAAAGCTTTCAGTCCGATAAAGGTAATTGAAAATGATACTGTGCTTTCTATGCACCACTTCTATGGTTGTTTTTTAATGACTTATGCACATTTTCTGTTAGTACCAATTGGTAAAGCCCCAGGGCAGGTAACAGGGCTAACTGCTACCCCTGAAAGCCTGGATTCTTGCACCTTGCTTGGAGAAGCCAGCCCTTCTCATTTAACTGCAAGATACATGTCAAAACGCTACTTGACCTAGTGGTCTCAGTGCAATTTAGGCCTTGAGTCTGAGTGGCACTGAGATTCTGAACATAGCAGAACACGATCTTAAATTGATTTCAGTTTTTCTTTGCCACTGAGGTAAAGATTCACTCTCAGAAAGTGTCTGCTATCTTGCTGCTCAGTTTCTAAAGATTTATAATTCCACTAATAAGGGATATGCATAAAGGCCCCAACTCTTTTAAAAGAGGTCATACTTTATGCCTTACAAATGTTCAGCAAATTTATCTTTCCCAAGTATGTCAGACTGATTTATAGCACTTGCCTGGACTTAAAACCTACAGTGCCTGCAAATCAACAAATTTAAGACTCCTCCTTCCTTCACAGAAGTGGGATAAAACTTCAGGCAAATTGCTCAGCACACTGCTAAGTCCCTAAGACTTCAGGATATTAATTCTCAGAGTAAGACTAATCCCCAAATCCAGATGAAATTGCAGTTCTCACGCAACATTACTTCGAGAACTGGACTTAGACATGAACCTGAGTTGCAGTGTTCACCACTCCCTGGAATTCTGTGTCAAGGTTTTTGTTGACCTAGAAATTTTGGGAAAAGACTGTGTTTGACTAAAGAGTGGTAATATTATGGGAAAGGAATAAGTGGAACATTCTCTCAAAAGTACTCAGTGCTTCTTTGGAAAAAAATATGATTTACACTAAGGTAGAACTGACTGTTCAGTATTTAGATGCCTAAAAGCAATATTAGATGCCCTCAAGGAATAAACTCCCACTATAAGTCAGTAGCATATGAATTTTCATAACATTTCATTCGCTTAAATATTTATGGAGCATTTGCTATCCTGAAAGAAATGAAAAAGTTAATTATCATTCCACTTAAAGACGGCAAGAGGTAAATGTTCTTCCAGACTTCTCTAGGCAGGCAAATGATTTTAAGCACTTGATTTTAAGAGATGTTATGCACTTGTAATCTCACATTCTTCAGAGGGAAGCCACACTGCTTAGAAGCACTTTTTTCAAACCTAGTTTAAGTCCTTTAATAAACCAGGGGAAATATCTGTAAGATATTGTTGCAGGAACAACAACTTTCAATGAATCTAGTGAGAAAAATTATCAGAAGCGTAACCACTTGTGTACAGTACCTGAGGATCTGGATCAACAGCAGTGACGTCACTGAGCAAGACGGAGGGAATTTCAGGAAGCAGTAGGTATGGCTGGTTTTGGAAGTGATGGGCCAGTTCTGCACTCCACCAGATAACATCTGGAAGCTGCGTATGGGACAGAAATGCAGAGATCTTCTGGTAAAGAGTGGATGTTTCCTGTAAGTCCTCTTTAGTCTGCAAAGAGTCAATGGTTAAAACACATTACTGATGGCCCCAGTAGCTCCCTGTTACATGTCATGTACCTGCAGCAGCTTTTCCCATTCCTTCTGTCCTACAAAAGGAATCCCAGCCTTGCATCTGTGCATCTCCCATGCAGGTAGGCTTCAGATTCTCCAGCCAAAACCCTAGCTTAATTCCCTCAGCCTCCCAAACGATCAAATCCTACATCCCTACAACTCAGACTAACAGTGCACAGAATGCACATGCTTCATGTGATCCTGCCACCACTCTGCTGAGCCTCCTGCCTCCCACCCAAAATCAGCCCCAAAACCAACTGAGCTCCTTGAGTGCAGACACTGTGTGCAACAGCAGCTCAGGAGCTGACTGTGCAAGGGCTCGTGCCATGACTGCCTCCACAGGCTCCTCACTTGAAGCAGGTCTCCCTCGGTAAGGACTCCTGGGGAGGGATCAGCCACATTTCAAGTACCTTGGTGAAAGGGCAACATTTGGACTAAGACACAGAACTTCATCACAGATGGCTAGAGAGTTAACAGTAAAGTTTAATTGGTTACAAAATGCTGATATAAATTAACTGATTTGTGACATCCATCAGCCCACATGTATTTCTCTGAAGTGGTCTGCATACCTTCCATGACCTATACATTAAAGGAAGGAAGGGGTCAGTGTTAAACAACAGTTGGGATAGATGAGGAGAGTGCAGCATGTACAGCCAAGTTTGTGCTGCAGAGGTCATCTAGATGCCCAAAAGGTTAAGAATCCTGCCTAACAGGTGGCTTGAGGCAGTAATTTTAATCTCCAAACATTTTACTACCAAAGGTAATTTTGAAATGGGGGGCAGGGAAGGCAGTGGTCAAAGGCTATCCCATTCATCCTGCAGCCCTGTGGAATGTGTCTCCTGAATAAATCTTTCATCAAGGTGCAGTCCTTGTAATTAAAACCAGACCTGGCTTCTCATAAACCGAGTGGAAGAAGGAGAAAATACCATAAACAGGACCATAAATCAGCCTAATACAATATAACATCAAACTGCTAAAGGTTTCACAGGGATATTTTACATAATTGAATAGCTTTATCAGTTTCAGGGTTTTTAAGGCTGTTATTGAGCACTGCATGATGATTCTAAAATACAACTTTCCATCATCTAGCTTCTCCAAGCTCCCTGTTCTTCCATATTAGCAGGACTTCAGGATTTTCAGATTACAAAATTGTTGAACTCAATGAAATCTAATCAATTGATAAAGTGAACAATTACACAAACATTTTCTCTAAAACATGTTTTATGGCTCCTGGAAACTCAAAGAGTAGAAGCCTCCAAAGCCCCCCAAATGCTGTGACACAAATGACAAGTTGTTCTGAACCACCACAGAACTGTTGAGCAACCAAAGAGCACAGAAGAACAACGCTGCCCTGCTCAGGGCTTGTGTGCCTAACTGGGAATGCTGAGTAGCTTCCTGGAAAGCACTCTCCATATAAAGCTAATTCCCACCAGATATGCCTGTAAATGAGGCTTGTTTATCAGCATGTAAAAATGACAAGAGAGGTGTGTATATGGGCATTTGTTCTGACAACAGCTGAAGAAAGAGTCACATAGGCATGTTTAAATTTGTACCACTTCAATCAGTTGTCTGAAGCGAGGACAGAAACAAAAAGCTCAACTGAAAACCCCCAAAACTGACATAATGGGAGAAAACATTGCTGAGCAGCTTGATTTATATGAATTGATGTCATCATGGTTGAATGAGCCAAAACTCGACTTGCTTGAAGACAGGAGCTCTTTCCTTAAGAAACCATTATTATATTTGTTTTTGTATAAATGAGGCCAATAAATGTACACAGGTTTGGGAAGTGCCAGGGGAACAAACTTGCCCTGTTGATACAGATATGTCCTTAGATTAGCAATCCAACACCTGCCATAAAGCTTATATTCATATTATTAAGCCCTCAAAATCATTGTAGGGCTCTATGGGCAATTGCCATTTTTGCTCCTCTCATGAGGTACAAGCACAGATAACACATAGAAAAATGGGCATTTCTCCCCTGCTACAAAGCAGGCACTAACTTGTACCTAATATGTTGAACAGTCAGTATGTATCCATCTCTGACTAAAAATGAACTCTGTACTCTTCACATGAAGACCATTACAACACTTTTTTTTTTAAAACTATGCTACTGATTAACATTTGCACTAGTTAGTATGTCTTTTTATTCGCCTTCTAAAAAAAGACAACTAAAATTTTCCTACATATTTACAGCCAATAGCTGCAATAAGAACTCCTAGAACTCCAGGCATTTTTTCTTGATATTCACATTTTGAAGCCAGGCCCTGATAACCGATTCTCATTATGCCACGAGGAGACAGCTAGAACAAAAACTGTTAAATGTTGCAACAGCAGAATATTGTTAATTGATTCAACCATTAAATACTGTACATTAACACTATACCAAGAGACTTGAGACTGAAGAGTAAAATGCAACAAATTTCCCCACAAGCAGCTGCTCAAGGGGAAGAACAGGCAGACAGGACTAGGTGCTGTTGTTTTTCCTGTCCCTGCTGTCACTGTCTGAAGGACTTAAATCTCTGAAGAGGAGAGGGCAGCACCTTTACAAATACCACAAGAAAGCAGAAACAATAAAAGTTACTGTTACTGCAAAGACATATGACAGATGCTAGTGAGAGGAAGCCTCGGTTATACATGGTCTTGCTGAAAGGAACACTGCCCAAACACTTTGCTTGCTCACTGCGGTGCACATTAGCTGAACCCAACAGCAATGTCAGTGTCTAAGTGGATCAGTAGATCAGCATCCCCATTTACATGCAGCCTGGAAGCTTAAGGAATGTTCTGCCAACCTCCCCAGCTCACCAAGTGTTTGAAGAGCCTGAGCTTGTAGCTTGAAAAGTTCATTCAATTACATGACACCAGATACCTATTTTAAGCATAGTCAAGACTAATTTTGATGCTTTGACCAGCTGCTCAGCTGGAATCAGTAGATAGCAACATGGAAATGGGCAGAAGTCAGAGGTCAGTCTCTGTTCCTCCTTTTTCTTTGTGAAAATACAGGAACAGAGGCTGACCTCTGACTTCCGCACACTTTAATATCTTGAATCCAGGTGCCTGAGAGAAATCACCACTAAGCCCTTGGCCAGTCCAGCAGGCTGCCGAGTCTCATTAACTCTGCTGCTTCTCTTCACCAGTGCTTAGACACCAGCAGAAACATCACTTGTTGGGTTGTTTTTTTCCCCGCCCTCCCCAAGTGTTTTAATCATTACATTTGTTGCTAGTATCAATCATTTACTTGCAGGAGCACTGGAGCCGCTGCTGTCACATTTTAGGCTTTATGATACATCATGGGAAATTTAATCTTACTGCTCAAAGACAGGCAGCTGCAGATGAAGAATGGCGAAGCCTAAGTGTGTTTAAGTGTGTTTCCTCTTCCCTTTAAACCTCACATTATGAGGCATCTAGCAGGTGTAAGCTAGGATACCTGGGGACCACTCTAACACACCTGATACTGGATCCAATGGGGTCTTTTTGGCATAGAGGAAGTGACAGGAGTTATCACCTCTATCACATCACCTTCCTGTTCGTATTGCCAGGCAGTAAATAAGGATGAGGAGACAGCACAGTTGTCCAGGTGAGCCAGGCATGCAGCTCCAGGTGTAGAAAATCCACTACAAGCTCAAAGCCACAAGTCCACTTTGAACTCACCAGCCCTTCCAGCACAGGGCCACAGTGTCTCAGAAAAGTTGTTCAAAAACAGGATGATTGTTTAAACAAGTGATTCAGAGATAGCAGGCACAGAAGGATCACGGATTCTGAGATATACCTGGGTACATGTTCAGCACAACAGCTATACCACATGTTTGTTTCTATAGATATCTATAGCAAACAAGGATAGCAAGGCCAGATTAGGTCTCAGGGTAATATCTAACAAGCTGTCTCCAAAAAGACAAAGAGCAGATGCATCCAGATGCACAGAGTATAACCAAATTAGTTCTGCTGAAAGATCGAACTAAGACAAGGGCCCAGAGCTGCTACTTCATAGCTCTGCCAATTAGAGGGCACAAGCTAGAATCACACCCTGCATTCCAGGGTGCTACCTGCATGTGCTGGATGAGGACCTTTGAGCTTGGGACTTTATTGCACAGCACATATTCACTGGCCTACCACCTCTGAGGGAGTGAAGCCTCAGCTCCCTTCTGTGGGTCTTAACTCTTGCGAACTGAATAACAAGACTATTTCCTCTCCTAGGCCACACTCTTCCCATAGTTAAAATATAAAAGCAAACTCATAACTCATGCCCAAGATATGATTCCAGTCTAATTTCTGCATGATTAGCCTTCTAAGTGCTACTACTCACTTTATTCTTCCAGATCTTGGTGCTGTTCTGAGCTGGGGGTTCATCTGGTGACATCAGGCAAGCATATAGGGCCAAGCCATTCTCTTGCCAGGCCTGTTGCAGTCCCACCACCCGAAACGGAGCTTTAGTCTCACCTTGCACAGGAGGCACCTGTAAATCCATTTGAACATGATATCATTTTAAGACAGTTATATTTAGAGACTAAAAATAACCCTTTGTCTCATTTTGTTGCTTTTGAGCATTCAATAGCCCAGGGGTATCCTAGCTTGATTAGCCATGTTTCAGCCAGTAGGAACTCAATAAAGACCAAATTAAAGGGGAATATCATGTAGGTTTTGGTAAGTCATAGGATTTATTTTCTCAGTGAAGACTAATAACCCGCAAGCTCCGAATTCAGCCAGCTATATGAAAGGAAGAGGTCATATTAGTTCCCTAGTCTAGCAAGAAGTGAGATCAGAGTCCCTATTGACACTGCACTGCATATGCCTACCACAGTGGTACTACTGTGTGCTGCTTTATTAATGATAATGAGATCAATATAATCTCAGTTCAAAAATCAATGCCAAGTGATTACAGCATTCTAAGGAACTAGTACAGCTTTTAATAGCCTTCATCTTCCCCATTACTGATCATTATTGGCCAAAACCCTATCAATTCCTACCCCTTTATTCCACCTTTTAGACTGAGGTGCTTTCCTTTTGACAGACCTTATTTTTGTGTGTGAATGGGAGGAAGGCATTCTATTTTCCAATAGACAGATTTGGCC